CCAGACGGCCTCAGCTGGGGTTCCCGAAGGTCAGAAAATGGCTATTGATTAATCTATTAGAATAGTTGCCGAGTGAAATAAAAACGACGTAAAATAACAGGGAACCTATAAATAAAGAAGCCATAACTAGCTGCTCCCGAGTTGTTAAACAACTTAGCATGTGGGGAAAAAAAATCGGAAATGAAGTGCCGGGGAAGGAGCCGGGATTGGCAGCGGCCTGGGTAAGTTGAGTGGGACTGGGAAGAGACTTTGGGCCTTTAGATTAGATGCCGCGTCCGGGCTGGGACGGCACTAGACGGCCGGGAGCCGGTGGTGTGACTTCCCCGCTGGCTGGGCCCAGCCTCCTGGGAGCGGGGGTGGCCTGGGGCTTGACGGCGGGCTAGGCTCTCAGTTGCTGCTAACTAACGCGGATTCTTTCCTCTTAAGACTTAGAGAAACCTTCCAAGATGTAACTTCCTCGGCAGTCAGCAGCAGGACAGGTGGAGGATGCGGACCGTGCACGCCGAGTGTGTCTGGCAAGGAAAGACAGTGATGGTAGGAGAACTGGGGCGTTACTTGGGGCGCGTGGACCTTGCACTTCCGAATAGTGCTTCTGAGCGGTGAATCCGCGACGCGCCACCTCTTCCCTCCTGCATTTTTAGGCCGTCTCCTAGCTTGCGGGCTGTGGTGGGCTCCTGGAAACCAACCCAGACTGTCCGCTAAGGCCTGAGAGGGGAATGCCGGTCTCATCAGAGGAAAGAGCAAAAAGGGAGGAGGTGCGAGGACAAATAATTAGTGAAATATTTACAGGACACACTAGGAAACCGATTAAATTCCTGGTGGACAGTGGTATTCTGATTCCCTCAATCTGTCTCGCTCACCGACGACCCCCTCTCTTTCCTTGGCCTAGACACCCACCCCACCCCAATCGGTAAACTTACTTCATTATTGGCAGTTTATCACACAGATTGACTCTCATCTCCATTCGATAATTTCCTGGGTTTGTAACACTAACCCATTGGCTCCCCACTTCGCAGGACTTTCCAGGTTGGGGCTGGGGGGAGAGTGGGGGCGGTTGCTCCATCCAAGTTTTCCTGCACCTGAATGACCCCCCCGGTTGCACCTGACTCTAAAATGCTTCTCTTGCGTTGACTTCCCAGCTGCACAGCTTTGTGGTCCGCAGGCTTTCGAGCCGTTTACAATGCCATCAAAACAGCCTCCCGCGAAACCGGCCAGAGTGTGAGCTGGCTGCCCGCTGCCCACAGATGCAGAGGTCGTGGCTGCAACTGTCCGAGTAACCCAGACATCACAACAGGAAGTTCGGAAGGACAAAAAAGGAAACCGAAATTTACAAATTCAAAAATTCCTTTTCCTCGGCGTGGGTACCCAGCCCCAGTGGTTGGCTGGGGCCGCCGCAGCGCAAGCCACCGTGCGCCTAGGAGGCTGGGCCGGCGTGAACCAGTGCACGTGTGTGTGTGCGCGCACGGGAGGGTGGCGGCTTCGGGGGCCGCCCTCCGCAGTCTTCTGGAGGTAGCGTCTCAATGAGCCTAATTTGGATTCCGCTGTCCCGCCCGGGCTGGCTCTCAGGATTCCCTGGACGATGCTGGTCGCTGCCTCTCACCTCCCCGGCCAAGACCTAGCCGGAACCGTCCATTCCCCGGTGCCTCTTTGTAACCTCCCTGGGGGAAAGCGGGGGCTGAACAACTCCCAGCCGCCAGTCCCATTTGTTGCGCTTTTTTCCTTCGACACAATAAAAGTCAAATTAATTGATTCATACCATTAATTACGGTGCGTAGCGTGAAAAGCAACGCTTCCCCTCGGTTAGAGATCTATTGTGCTAATCTCTTGTTCAATCAGTGTTACCATCTGATGCTGGGTCTGGCCCTTACAGAAACTTTTCGACTCGATTAGCTAAATGATGAGACGTGCAGGACCGACGGGCTGCAGCCCCTACGTCTGGCGCCCGCACCGGCCCATCCGCTTAATATCGATTGCTTTCCCGCTACCACTCTCGGCTGGGAAACCGGCCGCGGCTTCCCTCCTTCCGGGAGGACAGTAGCGCCAGCCCGCAACCTCCGGGGAGGGAAGGAGGCGAAGGAGCAGCTCAGGTGGGAAGAAGGCGGAAGGGCCTGGGCGGGAGCCTGACATTGAGCAGGGTCCTGCCCTAGGCCGACTCCATTCCAGGCTCAGTAAATCCTGTTTGCTAAATAATTGCATTTTGCAGCTAAATGCCCACAAGTCGTCAGTTACCGCCAAACTTAGGGTAAAGTGAGATGAAAGAAGCGAGACAGATACAGAGAGAAAGTGACATAATAGTGGGAGAAGAAAAATGTGATAGAGGGAATGGAAATATTGGGGAGGGGGTGAAATGTCGATAAATATTTTCTGAGTTGTAGAGGGTTACTGGGGGGAGAGAGCAAGAGGAGTGCACACACATACTATGGGAGTGACTACTTGGGCCACAAGCAAACTTCCCAGGAGGGATTTAAAGAAGATGGAAGCGAGCTGTCTCACCTGTTCAAATGTTTGAAACGGCTCAGCCAAAGGAGAAAGGCATGAGGTTTCTTTGGGGCGGGCAGAGTCCATGGTATCCAGCTGGGTGGTGGCCACCCGGACGGGGGCCGTCGGGGACGGGGTTGGCGATGGTGGTGGAGGGGGGCAGGGTTCTAGCTACAGGAAACACGAAACGTGAAGTCCAGATCGATTGGAAGGAAATTGAGACACCTCGGGGGAGGGGAGATTTTGTGTGCGTTCTCCGGGATGAAATGGAGAGGGGAGAAGTGGAACAATTTATGAAGCTGAAGGGGAAATTAATTGTAACTCCGTTTGGATTCGTAAGTGGTCAACACAAAGGAGGGGCACGGCCAGAGTGCTGGAGGCGGGAATGGCCCACCTAACGCTCGCCAGGAGGGAGGAAACTCAGGTGTCCCCTTCCTCCTCCTCGAGGTCAGAGACTATGCCAATGGCTTGAATAAATCGTTGGCGAAAGTGAGATAGAATCATGCCCTCACGCGGCTGCGCTTTTCTTAGAATCCGGGAGATGGGACCAGGTTCTGCGCAGTGAGGGGGGCGTCCGCCACCGGGAGGAGCCACCCTCGATAGCAGAGGAAACAAAACGTGGGTGGAGCCCATTTGGAATGTACCCCGCTTCCTGTCCCCCAAGAACCGAAGTCGGCTCCTACTTGACAATCTTCATAGGTTTGTTTAGCTACGATCAGCGTCTGCCTGGGTGGCCGCCACCGAGGGAGGTGGGAAGGGCTGAGCTGATACCCAGGTCCCCAACCCACCCAGATTATTTCTATTTTCACGTCAGTGGGATTTTCAACTCACTCCCCACCAGCTTTGTATGCCTCTCCAGATCTCTTCGGGGTGGGGGAGAAAAGGCTAATTTAATGTTCTTGTTTAGATTTGCATCTCAAAACTTCATTTATTTTCAAGGTGTCTGCCACTCAGGGCCCCTGCCAAGAAGTTCCTGTGAATGGCCAGAGACCAAAGGGAAAGGAGGAGAGAGAGAGAGGAGAGAGAGAGGATGGGTTTGAATTTATTTATATTGGAAATGTATAAACATCCATTCTGTAAAAGGCAACACGTTTAATTAACGATGAGAGAGCAGTTAGGGGCAGAAAGCTAGTAAAATTGTGTGATAAATTTATGGTATTGTTAGCGTGCTTTTAATTATGGCTATTATGTTAATTATTTCACATTAGCATGGAGTTATCAGCAGCATGTCAGATTTAATCAAAACGAGCCTTTCTCTAGAAAATTGTTCTTTTCATCCTCGAGGAGAAAGGTCTCAGGCAAGATTGGGGCTTAAAAATGACTTGGCATTGAAAGCTCGCATCTTTCCGACACGGTTTGGTGCGAGGCGGCCCGGCCCGGCTGTCCGCTGGGTCCCTCCAGGCTACGGGCTGCCCGCGGAGGAGCCGAGGGTTGGGTTTTTAGGAATTCACCATTTTCACCCCCTTCCGAGCCGACACTTCATCATATGGGATCACTCTGTCAAACAATATGATGCTGCTCATTTTTATCTGTCCCGCATCACAAAACCCCCTTTCAGCCCGGGGAGGAGCAACAAAAGCCTCCAAGTGGCTAGCGGGCCGCTGTCCGCCACGGCCTCTCCCGCGCGCCAGGGGGGCAAGAAGGGACGCGGTTGAATACTTTCCTATTGTTTCAGAATGATTATCCAGCTGCCTTATTAAAGGGCCTCCTTCATCTCATGAATATTTTAATATTTCAGTTTCAGACTTAATGATGAGGAGCTTTGGAGTCCCCCTGAGTTCCATTTACTGTTATTTTTGTGTCTCCTTATATTAATGGCTTTCACTTTTATTCCTTTGCTGGAGATGGCAGAGGGAATGAGATTGGATGACTTCTTCTTCATTTTTAGCCTGACCCGCTCTTTATAAAATGAAGAGTAGAGCCACTCCCTCAGAATGGCTAACGTGCTCAGCTGTGTGTAAATTGGGGTCATAATCCTTTCTTTGAAGAACTGGAGGAGTGCTGTTATGAGAAATGTGCTGGAAATGATTAAAGAGAAGAGTACAGCAGGACACAGTGGCTGTTTCAAGGTGGCAGGTGGGGCACCCTCTGCGTCCAGCCCTTACACCTTGTCACGTCCAGGCAAGTTCGCCTGCGTTTCTGATTCCTTTGTAAAGTTCCCCCTCGGCCACCGAGCGACCCTGAGTCCCGTCTCCAGGACCCGCTCAGGTGGAGGCCTCTCGGGCGCTGGGCAGCTCGGGCCCACCTCGCTGGTCTTCCAGCCCAGGCCCGCGGATGCTGCTGCCTCCTCGCCCCTGGGCCACAGGGGCGGGCAGCGGCCTTTCTGCACCAGACCCCTCAGGCCCCGCCCTTCCCGGGACCTGGCTGTGGACCTGCCAGCTGTTGCCTTATTTTTAGCGCCATTCCATTCGAGCGGTTATATTTAACTTGATACACTCCTCCTCCCTGGACGCTCGGACATCGAATTCTCCACATCGCAGCTCGGGCTGGTCCGCCTTGCCTAGGGGCAGTTCCCCAGGGGCAGATTGGAAAATCCCTGCTTAAGAAGCTTGGACGTGTCCCGAGCTTGGCTGGGAAGGGAGAGGTTGAGAGGTCCAGTCCTAGGAGCAGTAGCTACCGCGCCCACGTCTATACTGCGCAGAGGTTCTGTCTTGGGGCGGTGATGCGGAGTGTAAGGAGGAGGATTAGGTCCCAGGGGATTCTCAGCGTCAAGTATTGGGTCCATTTTCTACTTATTCATGACCCCGAGTATCCAGGTGACCTCTTACAACTCTGCCCTTCAGAAAGTTTATGATTTTTGTATTAATTCAGGAATCCATTCTCCACCCTACTCCCAAACACACCCAACAGGATTCTTAAATTTGAATAGTAAGTTGATTCCCCAGTTCCAGCCCAGTCTTCTCTTGGTAAAATCTGGAGAAAACCATGCCATTGGCTCAGTCACATCCTGGGGAAAGGACCCACTTGGATAACATACAGAAACACCATTGTATACACACTGTATTCGTTCAGAAGGTCAAACTTAATTTACAAACAATATAAACGCGGTGTACTAAAGATACACATGCAGATGTGACATGACCTGGGATATTGAAACATACTTTTTAAATTAAAAATTTCCTCTTTCTGATACTTTTAAAGAAAGGACTACCTTAACCTTGGGTCCCATGTGGGTATTTCCAGCTGTCTTTTTTAAAAATCCTCACCCTAGAATATATTTATTGATTTTTAGAGAGAGAAGAAGAGGGGAGGAGGGAAAAGGGAAGGAGGGAGGGAGAGAGAGAAAGAGAACATCTTTGGGTTGCCTCCAGTAGGGGAGGTATGTGCACTGACTGGGAATTGAACCCAGAACCGTTGTACTGGATGATGCTCCAACCAATTGAGCCACTCAGACAAAGGCCTGGCTCTTTGTAGATCTATCTGCAATGTATGCAATGAGGAGGGTGTGATATTCACGTACACACACACACACACACACACACACCCCAGAAGCCCGGTGCACGAAATTCGTGCACAGGTAGGGTACCTAGGCCTAGCCGGTGATCAGGGCTAATCGGGGCCTTCCGACTGCCAGCCAGGGCCTTCCTTCCCCGGCTGCCGGCTGCTGGCTGGGGCCTTCCTTCATTCTGGACTGCCCCCTGTTGGTCAGCACACATCATAGCGAGCAATTGAACTCCTGGTCTCCCGGTTGGACTCCTGAGGGGGCACTGCATATTAG